AGAAAATTCGCAAAATTAAGCACAAAAGCAAACCAGATTCCATTGGTCGGGCCAGAACGGATCATTAAACATATCATTATAGTGATTATTATCGTTAGCAACGAAATTACTACCAATGGCATCATCACGTTTGTATCGTTTTCTGACTCGCTGTTGTTCCGCCCAGACAACCTACAAGATGTTCCTAAATAACTCAAAATTTTTGTCCTTTTTTTTCTAACAAAATTACTTCCAAAAATTAAAATTCTTCGAAAAAACCAATAATTGAATTAAGTAATTCATAAAATTTTTCGTTTTCACGCACGAAACTGTCAGAAATTTTAATTTCTGACTTTCCTAAAGTGCTAAAAAGTAAATTTAATTATCGAAATTAAAAAAACAGAATTTGTGTTGCTTGTTTTTTGAATTGCACGTAAATGGGGGAATTTTTTTTAGGAGCGATGCTTGATTTCCCACAATTGAAACTGAACTTTGAACTCCAGCTTTGACTTTCACCCTTCTCCTTTCCTGCCTTTTCCTCTTCATTGCTCCCCTTCCCACCCTGACCCCCAGTGCTGCTTAATTAAATCAAATTTCCGAGTTTTTTGATGTTTTATAATGCTCTACCAAACTATGTCCCTCACTAATTAAATCTCGCCTGTTGTCTTGTGACGTAGGAAAAATGTTAAGAATAATGCATGTAAAGACAAACAGGAATATTTTGGCCAGTTAAGCTGAAAAATGCGCTAAGTTGCTTCACAGCTTAACATTTTTTTAATCCATGGAAAGCGCTAAGTTGTGATTTAACACTTTTTTAGAACTTAACTCTTTTTTTGGAAATTTTCCATATTCGCAACTCGTCTTATAAACTGAAAATTAATTTTTGCGAAGTACTACTGCTTATTCAGCTAAAAAATCACGGGTACTTTATTCTGTTATTGAGCATGATTTGTTGTTGCGCAGCTTTCCTATTCTGTTAAATTGTTTCCTGCAATCCCTTATGCGAAGGAAAAAAACTGATCAACGTCTTCTGCTTGGGCTTCGAACCATAAGTAAAACTCGAGTATACAAGAAAAATTCAAATTCCGATTACTGGTCTGAAATTTCGAACGCCGGAAACCAAGTGCTGAATTTAAGATGCAAATTCGTTAACTGGGCTAAAAATTCGAATTCGAAAAATCAAACATATTTGTGACGACGTAGAGCGAGGGTTGATTCGCTATCAGCTTTCCTTTTTTGACGATAAGCACCATCTTTGGAGAAAATATAGATATCCTCGAAACCTCGCATCTGGAATAACTCAACGATAACCTTAAACGAAAATGGGTCTTAAAAGAAAACACTGATATCTTTTAAGGAAAACTAGGGATTTTTTGGAAAAGCGAAATTTTTTTAAACATTCGTATCATTAATGTCTACATAAATGATTAATTATTGCAAATGAGGTAGACAATGACAGTCTTACCAGCGAGTGGTTGCTGTTGGCACTTGCTACCTTCGAAAATTTTTTAAATTCTTAGCCTCTCATAGAAAATGGATGCGGAAAGGATTTTGACTTTTGACTGAACAGTCCCTCGATTTTTTTTTTTTTTTTGACCTTTTTCCTAGCAACACCACTAACATGGGACTATCACGCCAACTGCTTGGATGGTTTTGGTGTTCTTGCTGGTGTCAATTACATATTTTAATCGGTAAGATTAGTGATGTTTGTGTGTTGTTCCCAATATTCCTCGACCCCATACCTTCAGTTAATACCCATTATCTTTCTGAGGAATGCAAAAATGTACCGGCGCGATGTACTTATATCCGACGGCTTGTGCAATATTTTTAGCTTCCTGTGGTCCTCCGACAATTTGCACCACCCATTCGTTATCATATTCTTCCTCGTCATCATCCTTTCAAATCACAAAAGTGATAAGAATGATAAGAAGAAAAAATTTCTATTTTAGGAAAATATTTTTTATCTACTTATGCCCAATGAGTTTAGAGACACTAACATGAATACTCACACTGATAGGCCGAGCAGTCTTGGTATTCTTGGTATTTCATCTTTTACTAAAACTAATGGTACCGACAATTCTTGAAAATCATATAGCATTCTCTAAGTTTCGTTAGGAGAGCAAATTTTCAGATGGCAACATCATCTGCGCTTTTTTCTGCCTTGCTACACTGATAGCTTCTGCCTTGCTAATTTCATTTTTAGTATAAAAGCAAAACTGTGAATCAAAAATAGCGATAATATTTACGGTACAAAACGCATAAAAACTGCGTATTTTAAAGAAATCACACAAAAAAAATTTCAAAAACATAACGTGCATGCATACATATATACACAAACACGCACATACACGCATACATGCAAGCTCACACACATACATCTCACATAGATACATACATATACAAACATGCTTGCTCACATTCATACAAATCCATATGTATTGGCACAATACATGAGGAATAACTTTGTTGTAGAAAGCAAAATTTTCCGGAGGAAAATGAAAAGGGAAAGAAAACGGATACGGAGAGAGTTTTTGAAAGTTATAGAAAATGAATAAGAGAGAAATGCAAAATTCGATTTCGATGTGAAAGTTAAAAAACCTAAAAAAACCTTCCTTCTATGCTCTCGGTGAGAAGTGAAATCACTTTGGAAGTAGCCTGAGTGGTAGCAAATGCCAAAAAGTAAAAATTAGCTCGTCAAATTCTCAAGGAGAGGGTTGCTTACAAGCAAGCTGATTGCGGGTTTGACCCCCTGGTATGCGCCAGCATCAATTTGTCATCAAAATGAATTAACTTATCATAGTGGGACTGAATGTTTTTCCTACTGGGGAACTGAACATTTGTTCTGCTGCTCGACAATGCTGCTTTTTTTAACTTCCCACTGTGCCATGATGTAGGCAATAAACTTTAAACAAAAATCTCTTTTCAAATTGCATTTTTAAAAATTTATGGGCTTTAGTCATCTCATTAAAATTTTTAAAAAAAATCGCCTCCTTTCAAAAAATTTTTATGGAAACATCTTACTTTGCACGTATGTTCAATTTCATCAGCAATAAGCAAAAAAGCAGTTCAGCTGAATTCGACACTCAATGCAGTGGTACCTGGTTGTTATCGAAGGCGACGCTTGGCTGCTGAAGTTCTTCCCGTAGCCGCAGAAGTTGAGGGAGCAGTGCAATTAATTTTCCCTCATCATCACTGGCACCAGCAATTCGTTGCCTCCAAACCCGTTCGCGTAATAAAGGATTGTAGCACTGGACGCGCACTAATGATACAATAATCAGTAGTAATACTGTTATTTGCGTCATCGAGGAGGATGAAATTTTTTGAGTTCGTATGGAACTCTTTCTCATTTTCCATCGACTCAATATCTCCATTCAGTAAAACTAATACATCTTTTTGTTAACAGAAAAATCGCCTCAAACAGAACAGGTGAATCCACGGAATATCTAGAATTCTGGAAGTTAGCTTTCGAAAATATTAGCAAACAGTCAAGAGCAATAAAATTGCAAATACAGCTAAGAGCACCCTTAAGAATCGTAAGGAGCGCTTCTTTCTTTATTAGAATGGTAAATGCACCAAAATTGCCTACTCAATGACCAAACGACGAAACTTTCGCCAAAAATTTCCGCTTAATTGAAATGCGGGCTAAAATTTCTGTCAACGACGAAAATTGTGCCCAAAGTACTTGTGTAGAAAGTTTTGAGTTTTTGAATAAATAGAAAATGAGACTATCTTTTTTTCTAGAACAGTCGGAGCGGAGAGACAGTTTTGTCTAGAAATGCAGTGTAAAATGGTGGAAAACTCTAAAAATCCAGAAAAAAACACGATGTACTTGTGATACACCAGAAACCGTGGAAAGTTTACTTTGCAAAGTGTAAGCTGAGAACGAAAGGATGAAAAGCAATAACTTCACGGTCCTCGTC